GTGTGTATGGGGGGGGGGGTGTACCTCAGGTAACAGCAGTACAGAACTGAATGCAGCTGTGGATCCTCTTGTGGGTCCTGGCTGCTCTGGCAAATTCATACGATGTTTCACTGAACCGTTCCTCCACACCTCCATTATACTGTCCCTGGAGCCTGGAGGGAAGGACACATAGACACAAAGACAGACAGAGAAATTATTTACTTTTCATCATCAACTCTTTAGTTTTTTGTTTTAAAGCTGTGGCGAGAGTCTGAAACTTACAGCACCAAAGCGTTCCATTCAGGCTGGAGACTGACTGCAGACGGTCGCAGGAGAGGCGAAATTGCCTCTTCACCTGAAGTATTAATGTGCAAATGAATGGTTAGAACCAGGAACATAACTGGAAGAAGGGAGGAGCAGTCAGTAGGAGTTGCTCTGACCAGTGTACAGCTGATCTAAAACATTTAAGCATGGAATTAACCAAATCAGCTCTACACCTATAAACTACTAAGATTATTTTATGGGATTTCAACCTTTTATGTAGCATGCTGTTTTATTTAGTACATGACCAGATAATTATCTGGTGAAATGGAAAAGCAATAAAAACATAGTTTATACAGCACACAGTCTAACAAAGTATTGGTTTGAAACTGACCTGTAGTGTCGAGACGTCCCACACCATGATGCTTCCCTCTGCACTGCAGGAGTACGCCACCTTCTGGCTGAAGAACAAAGTCCACTGGTAAGATTTTTCTGATTCATAACTTATTTAAACACACATCTGTCGCAGGGACTGAAGCCAACTTATTACTTCAGCTTAGTTAAATACAATTTAATTCACTGGCATGAAAGTTTAAAGTGTGTGTATGTGTGTGTGTGTGTGTGTGTGTGTTACCTGTATTTGTCTGTATCAAGTGCCAGTCCAGTGACCTCCGCCCTGTGTTCAGTCAGCTGTCTGTTACAGACCATGGCCACCATGCTGATGATGTAGATGACAGAGTCCTCAGAGCCCATCCAGACCTGGTCCTTATCAACTCCCAGCATGCAGTTCTGCAAACACAGAGACAGAAAGACACCATGACTCACACAGCTACAGAGAACATAAAAACTGATTTTAAAATTAAATATAGAAACAATAAGGACCACAAAGACACTGCTGAGTGATTAGTTGGTGAGAATAAAAAAGTTGATCTATAAACAGTTGGTTAAATAATTAATTAGTCAACTGACAGAGAATGAACTGG